TATGGTCGCACGCACGCGTGCGCGTGTATTATAGGCGTAAATAAAAATGTTGTGCCTCGCGGGGGGAAAAAGTTTCGGCTGAAATACGGCCATTTACCTGCAAGAGTTTTTCCATGCTTGACTGGTCGTGGGCGATACCATCCGCGAGAGGGGAGTAAGGATTGGAATAAGTGATTTCTTTTATTCACTGTTAATGTTACTGCCTGACACAGCACATGAAAGGTCAGCATAAAGAACCGGCAATATTGTTTATGATTATTATGATTATGATTATTACTATTATTAAATTATAGTTGCATATTATTTATTGTAAATTATAGTAATTCAACTACAAATACATGTACTGAAGACAGTCTTTTTCGTGGAGAAAAAATTTAATGAATGCAATAGTATTGAGCAGTTAAAATAATATAATTTCTGAGTGATACAGTACATTGTGTGATACATAGTTCTCTGTGATACATGTTACATCAAAAATCTCTACATATTGTTACAGGACTGTGACATGAATCTGCGTGAATAACAACATGAAACGATTCTTGTGTAGTACGCCGGTAATCGGCGAGCTATAGCGGCTGTTTAATCTGCTGTCGGCACTCATGTAAAACAACTATTTTTACTTTATATGTGAATCTAAGGTATATATGATGACTCTAAAAAGCTAAAACTACTTGTCACAGATTGTCCTTGAAAAAAACATGTACTTGAAATCTCATTGAAAAAATAATTCATCCTTTTGTGGGAACATGGGAACCATATGTCTATGATGTTGAAGAGAACACACACGCACGCACACATATATCCATTATCACAATCTAATGATTCCCATCGAGGAGTATACACATCGCAGTGCCACCTAGCATGAATATTATGTTCATTGGCGTACTTCATAGATGCAATTTTTTATACCACGTTCTGGGGAGCTGCTAGGTGCTAACACTGCTTAACGGCCAATATATATTCTATTTCTATTTCATTCATTCTATTTCTATTTCTATTTCATGGCACGTGACACGCTATATACACCTGTGTGTGTGTGCGTGTGTGTGTGTGTGTGTATGTGTGCGTGTGTGCGTGTGTGCGTGTGTGCGTGTGTGCATAGTACAAGTAATTCGTGATGTTGAGAATAACTATGTAACGGTTACTTCTAAAACTTATGAGAGCTCAGGTTTGATTCAACACAAGTAGCTGCCAACTGAACAGGAGGCCTACATTCAGCAACACATAGATCTAGGAGGACTGCGGGGGTGGGGGAGTCGACTACACCCATGTGACTGTAGCTTGTCCAAGTCTGTTTCTTGGAATGTTGCAATACGTTAAAGTAAAACAGGAAACAGTGCTTGTCAAAATAATAGTTTTAATTTTAATACTTTTTGAAATTTTCATATTTATAATTGATTTTGCTTGAGAATGAAATACTTGTGGCCTAATTGATCTCTCTAGACCATGTATAGAAAGAAATGTACTCGACAGGTTTGCGATGGAACATACTTCGTGGAAGGACGTAGCAAGCTAAATCTATATTTTTTGGTATTCGCCATCATACCAAGCAATCGATATCAAAATATCTCAAACACATTAAAACTAGCATTAACAACTACAGAAACCAGACTGTATGTGCGGGAAACTTAAATAGAATCAATAATGGTCATTCAATAAGCTAAAACAAGGCAAAGTGCTGCGCAGCCTGCTACGTCAACGCAACAACTGCACAAACAGGACAAAAAAAAACTATAAACAAAATCACAGATAGATGCAATGCAACGCCAGAGTGATGCTGCACTCTCGGCATCACACATTTGGCCTTTGCTAACCGACATCACCAAAACATATATACAAACTAAACTATGCAAAAAAGAAACATTGGCAAGTAGCACTTAAGCTTCTCTGTATAGCGACCGATGTTGCACGTGACATGATCGTGCACTGACGAACGAACTCGCTATTCGAAACTGCCACTGCGTAATCGCGTCCAAATACATTTCTCGTCGGAAGATCTTTCTGTATTTTGCACTTGCCCGATTTCATTACTTGTTTTGACCAAATTCGATGACTACTTTGACAGCCAATGCTAATGCCATCGCAAAATTGAGCAAACTGATTTTCCTGGCCGTCCAGTGAACGGTCGGTCTGTCGAATTGTGCAACTTGTTAGAAAATGTTAAGAGCATATGCACTTGTGTTCCAATCGTTAGGGGAAACACAAAGTCAAACTGTGTCCATGATATCTAATGTCAGGCAGTGTCAGAATACACAGGAATCCGTACAAAGGCACATTTTGCATAAAACTTGGAGAAAACTAGATTTATAGTTCAAATGGTATATAAGATGTCGTGTCATTCATTGGTGGGCCAACAAGACTGCTTCATTCACACTTCACAATCACCTGTTAGAATAGAGGTGACCCTTGATAGTCAATGATGTAGGTTGCCAAATAAAGTTGTGGAAAGTGCAACAGCAGCACCAGATTTTCTGTTTAATTTACACGCTGCGTCGATTACACATTACTGGACTTTCATACATGCGTGAGACGCACGTGCAGTCATTCGAAAGTTCCACCCAGGTAGTTAAAACCAATGCTGCATGTGAATCTGGGATCTGCGTGCAGGCGTTACATTGTAGTCAACACAATTAACTGGCAGACGACGATCGATTGGTAACCAAAGACCAAAGAACCAAAACATTCTCCCTCTTCAAATATAAAACATACATGCAATTCAATAACAAGTGAGGCGTTAAAAACTCATTTACAGCATCGGAATACTTCCAAGGTCAGCAGAAACTAGTAAACATATCACTAGACAAGACATTACACATCGCCTTAAAGATACATACAATTCATGCAATTTCATCTCATCACGTATCACTACTATTATTAACACATACGCAATGTGGCACCCTGTCCATCCGCAAATACAAAATTAACACAAAATAAGGCACCAATGGTCTCACATGACATGTAACACCTAGACAGATACACACCAGCACTGCGATTTTTCACCCACAACAATGCGCAGCCGAACAATGGGGAACAACCTATGGCACGTCGTATGAAATCCAACCCCGGTATTTGCATCTCGATTACACACCAATGCCACTATTGCATACTGGGTGAAATGTTCGACGACGGGCGAATGTTTGCAGCTCCGACACACGCTGCCACCTGTGGGCACTCGCCCTTACTGTGAAATTCCTTTGAGGATATGTTCTTGCGTACGCGTATCTACACAGAACGAGAACAGTCAGCCTAGTCTGCACAAGTACACTTGTACGTGACTGAGAACAGTACACTGGAAGCCTCATCTGACATCAGGGGAAGCCATGCACACTAGCTACCCCTGGTTAAGAGTCTCATACGTAGACAGAGTCTCTGCATATGGGGATTCTAACTGTTACATCATTCTATGTCACCTCAGCACACCTGTGGTTAGGAGTCTCTTCATGCACGCGAATCGACGAACTGGGATTCCAACTACGCATCTAACTTTTCGCCTCAGCTAGCTGACGTCCTTCGTGCAGGATGTTGACGACGCGCCGTCGCCGCCGACCGTCGCCGTGACGACCGCCGCTCCTCCGCCCGCCCCGCCCACCTCGCTCGCAGCCGACGCCTCGCCCACGTCATTGCAGATGTCTCGTGTCTCGAGGCGCGACTGCGTCTCGGCGATCCACGACTCGATGCGACGCTTGTCCATGATCTTCGAGCGCTTCGCCGACGACGACGACAGCGTCTCGCCGTCGATGACCTCCGACGAGACGACCGCCTCGAGGCGACGACTCGCCGCGGGCTCGGACGCCGCCGCCTGAGACTGCGCCGGCTTCGTCGCGTCGCGCTCGTCGCTGCGCACGGCGCGCACCGTGGGGGCGGCATCCGCCTCGGGGTCACCGCGGTCGCTCGGCAGGTCGCGGCAGGGTCATCGCTGCGCGCAGGTTCAGTGCGAGCACGGCGGTGGCGCCCCCTGGCGAGGCGGCGTGGATCGAGTCGATGTGGATCGTCGTCTCGCGTTGGCGCGACACTGCCGCGCGCCCGGTCGTCAACGCGACGTCTCGGCGCGGCCTCTGCCTCGGCGGCGGCTGGCTGCGTCACCGTGCTTTGTTCGAACCTCGCCGTCAGCATCGGCGACGAGCGTCGGACGTCTGTCGTGGCGGCCCCCTGGCGAGTCGGAGTCACGATCGGTCCCGCGGTCACCTCGCGGGGACGTCTGCGCGGCGGCGGCCGGGTTTGGAACTTGGGCGTTCGCGAACGCCTCCGGCGCGCTCGGGGAATCGCGTTTCCGCAGCGCCGGCCGCTCTGCCCATCTTCGCGAGGCGTCGTCGTGCGCCGCGACACCGTTCTCTCGCGCCGCCGGCGTCGACGGCTGCTGCGGACCGCTCGCCGCAGCTCCCTCTGCAGGACGCCGCCGCCGCCGCCGTCCAGCGGCGCGACGTTCAACGTGTTGCCGAGCGCCGCCAGCAGCTCCCTCTGCTGGAGGAAGCTGGGCATGACGGAGCCGGCCGACATGAACGGCATGCCGGCGAGGAACGGGTTGCGGCCGGCGCCTTCGTGACCCAACTTCCCGAACGACGTGTTGCGCTTGTGCGTGCGGTGCGCCGCCGCCGGCGACGCCTCGTGCTGCGCGCCGCGCGCCGCTGCGTCCGACGACTCCGGCTCCGACATCGGGTAGTTCTCGGAGATCGGCTCCGACAGGATGCTGCTCGTGAACGAGATGGCGCTGCACGCGGACGGCGTGCGCGAGTGGCCCATGTGCATGTAGAGCTGCTTCTTCGCGATCTCGTTCGCCTCGCGCTCGACGGCTGCGACCATCTCCTGGTAGCTCTTGCGCGCCTGCGCCGACAGGTCCATCAGCTGCTGGAAGTGCTCCTGCGAAAAAACGGACGGACGGCGCAAACGTGAGCACGCGGCAGTTGTTGCACAACACAGTTGGCCTATAGCGCCGCTGTCAGTGCAAACGTCAGCGCGTGACAGTTTTTGAAGAGTTGGGTACATGGCGCAAACGTCAGCATGCAACAGTTTTTGAAGGTTGGGGGTACACAGGTGCCTCTTTATGGAAATCGAATAGACGGATCGCGTCGGTGAGGAGACATTCCGTTCATGAAGGGACAATGACAAGATCTGTGTGTTGCTCAGAAAGGACAATGTGAATGAAGGTATGCGTGCTCGTGGACGTCTTATTATTTGTCATGCCTCCGCAGATGACACCACTGTATAAGGTACCCACGGCTGGTACAGGTGACTCCGCCAATTAATTTATTTTCCGCCATTATATTTTGAATCTAACAAAGCCGCTTCCATTTCATCTACAACGACAACAACCACCCATCACGTCAAACGGAGACAGGAAGCTTTCACGCGTTCTCCGACATGAGCGAGTGTGCTCCGTGTTAATGAACGAACCTCGCTGCCCTCGTAGTTGAACACTCCCACGACGCTGACCGGCACCAGCTTGGCACACGCACGTCCCAACGCTCGCCGGCCGAGCGCAAACACAAACGGAACGTTCTGGTCCTGGGCTAGACGGATGATGTTGTGTAACGCGTCGTCAAGGCCACCTGGTGAGAGGCAAAAGCTGCATTCAGCCAACCTCGCTTATAGACTCCCTGAAGAGAACCCCCCTGAGAGCCCTTTCTAGATAGGCGTCCTTTATTTTGAGATGGCTTCCCTCTAGTTTTTTATAGACAGGTGTCCATTCTCTAAATGTGTCTGCTAAGATAATAACATGAATAATAATAATGCGCTCCTCCCTAATATATAATAACATGGTTTTATATAACATCAGAAAACTGACAACATTTGAATTGGAACTGAATTGAAATGTCCTCGATTCGTACCTTTTGACTGTATTCTCTCAAGGTTTGGAGAAATTATGAGCAGTTTGAGCTTGCGTAGCTTTAGGTGTTTGGCTACTTCCCTCAAGCCTAGCACAATTCTTCGCCGTGCTCTCGCCTGATGTGGTAATGATCATTAAACAAAAACACAAGCAAGCTCTAATTAACTTGGGTATGTACATCAATGAAAGGGACTCTGTAAACACCTAACTATAAGAGCAACAAATGAGAAACACTACGAGAATTCATATAAAACTTATTCAAACTAAGTTATATAAACAAGTTATAATCATAATACTTGAATTTTCTTCTTTTTCATGTTATAACGAGCTTGTAGACAGCTACAAATGACCTACTTTTATTTTATCCTTGTGGTAGAGTCTATCTTGAAATCTGACTAGGTCCTGCAGCAACAATGTGCAGCAGTTGTCAATGTCCTTGTGCAGCATCTGTGTGCAATACCTGTGCAGAATAACAACCATGTTCACAACAGCATACGACATCAGGTTAGATAGAAGAGTGTGTGAGAACTGTAATGCATGTCATGTGTGTGACCATGTCATCACACAAGAAAATTTCACGAGAACATTACAAGAGAACATGATATAGGAAAATTTCACGAGAACTTTGCATGTGAAGATTTCATGTGAGCCATGGTCACCATAGTATAGAAGCATCTGTAGTCTTAACAACTTTGGGCTGCATAACCAGAAATGTATATGTGTGTCAGCTGCATAAAGCATTTATTGGAAACACAGATTGTGATTTGCCACATTATGTTACAGGCAATTATTTATTTGGGAAACACAAATCTTATAACTCATGAAAGTTTACAGTTTATTGTGGGAAAATAAAATAAATAAATCTGCAATCTGCAGTGAAATTTTACAAGGCTCTGCTTGCTTTTTAAATCGCAGATGGAGGGCGCCACTTACTCGCGGAAGCGTCGGCTGTGTATTTGCATCGTCACGAGGTTGCGCTCTGCACTGTTCATGCCGGGAATGGCGGAGTCACCTGTACCAGCCGTGGGCACCTGAGACAGTGGTGTCATGTGCAGAGGCGTTGCCTATATGTAGCACATAACATGCGAGTTTTAATAGTCGGGTCCCACGATACATTAACAGTCGCTAATTAAAACCTTCAGCAGGTTATGTCTTCAGTTCTAATTAATGGCATGAAAGTGTTTTATGATCCTGTACTTTTAGGTATATACACAAAAGGTGGCTGTATGGATGGATGAATGGATAGATGGATAGATGAATGGATGGATGGAGGGAAGGCTGTGTGGATGAATGGATGAGAGATATAGAAATGTGAACAACTCAACATGATAAACAATAAAAACAGAATTACAGGACAGCGTTGACTCACCTGTGAGATCGGCGATAGATCCTCAGTATCTTGCGTCTTTGGCACGACTTCTTGCGACATCTCTGGTGCCGTAAACAATACATCCGCCTCCCCAACAGCATCCATCGGCTTCAACACTCTGCCAATTAAACACCGTTCATCTTATCACCATCTATCACGGGTCATACCAAAGACTTACACACCGTTTCTCTGCTTAGCACTCGGCAAATAGATATAGAGCGTCGAAAGTTAACTCGCAGTGGAACCAGTGGACTAACCCCCTGCTGTAGTATTTACTGTGAAAGCAGCTGCGTGGCCTCGGGTTGAGGAAACGGAGATAGGCACCGCTCTATGCGCCACATAGGAACGGGAAGGAATTTAACTTTTAATCTTATCACCTCAGAATTGCTGTCGTCTGAACATGCTTCAACTTTATGAATCGTCTTATAATAATGAAGGCTACAGATTAAGCCTGTGTATCACTCACTACACAGGATTAGTAGGGGTTGCAGTTTTTTTTATTTTTGGGCAGATATTATAAAAAAGGATGGATTTAAATCAAGATACACTATTCACTTACTCAAAGTAACTATTCTTTTTTCCAGTAAAAGGTTGGGTTTCATTTTTTACCACCTATCTACATGTATTTTTCTTTTTCACTGTCTACCCTTGCTGAGGGCACACCCTAGTGTCAAAAAAGTGAACCTGTATATAAATAGCGTTTATGCCTTGTTTATTATTTTACCTGGAAAAACTCAAACATCTACGGAAAAGCAGAATCCGGGCGTCACGTTTTTGGAGGAAAAGTACCAGTTTTTTTCTGGATTACTTCTCTTTGACTGTCAATAATAATTGGGAGAAAATGCGCCTAATGCATGATCAGATGTTTGCACGTGTGCACGTACCGGTTGGCTGCTGCTGTTCCTGCTGACAACTGTCCATGCATCTCCTCCTTCATCAACCTCACCCTCTTCTTCTCCTGTCTCTCCTTCAAAATAACCTTCTTCAGGGCACTGGGTCGCTTCCGAGCTGGGTTCTCCTTTTCTTTGCCGCGTTTAGCTGGCGCTGTGCTATCCAACGGGTTGGCAACCAACTGTGTGTGAGAGACGAGTATATACGTGACTCGGGGTCGGGCACATCATTGGACTTTGCAGAAAGTAGAATTGTGAAGAAGCGAACCCTGACACTGTTTCAAATGTGAATGGGCAGCACTTTTCAGAAGGATGTATCCTTTTAATTACAATGGATTGAGAAACGAACAATGTTTCGTCATCCCTTTCAACTGTGACTATAACCATCATTCAAATCTTAACATGATTCCACAAATTCTCGATGCAAAAGCAAGTCTGTTTAATAGTAAATTGGTTTGACCAAGTGCTTAGAGTTCTACCACACAATGGCACATCAAAACAGCACACAGTCACTGTCGTGTAAGGGCATTGCTGCGAACATGGAAGGAGCCAGAAACCTTGGGCTTTTCAGTTTTCTTTTCAGCATGTCTGTCCTCCTGTTTCTCCTCATTAACCTGTGCTGATGCAATCTTCTGCTTCTGAAAGGCAGAAACAGAAACGATGTAACGAGATCAAATGTGGCACCTAGTGAACGTTCAGGTAGCACAAGGCTGGGAATCTTTCTGCCATGACAATCATTAGGGAAACAGCCCCATTTATGCAATGTTAGCGTATTCATATTAATTAAATGAGATAAATGCATGCAAGATAAACGATGCACCGTATGCAATTGCCCTCATATGCAAACCTCGAGTGCAGCAATCATATTCCCAATATCAAACTGAATGGGAGCCTGCGATTTCTTTGCTGGTTTGCTCGGCACTGCCGGTTGTGGTACTAACTGTTCTTTCTTTTTCTTCTTGCTCTTCTTTTTGGCTTGCTTTTCTTCTGTTTTATCTGCATTAATATGCATAACATAACAAGAATGCTACTATCGTTGATTAAGGGAATTCACTACTAAACCATGCTCACAATCAAACATAGTTCATAGTAGTACAGTGAAACCTGTTTATATGGATCCCTCATGAGAAAGACCCAGTCTCCTTAAAAGATATGCGCACATTCCATATATGGTTTCACTTACTGTATATGCTGTATATTTCGCAGTAGTTTAATTTTCGCGAATTTCGCGAACGCGTCCCCGACCGCAAAAATAACAACATGCGAATAATTCATACCGAATAATACCAAATAATTCATAATTCACCGACAGCAAAATTAACCACTCGCGAAATTGTCCGTCAAGTCGGAATTCGTGAAAATATCTGTACGCGAAAAATATGGCGTATACAGTATAACTGCTACTCATGGAAAATGCAAAGTTCCCTTCGTAGACAGGTACTCATTCTATAGGTTACTGCAAATGTAGGTTTGACTGTCCTAGCTTTTTGAAAGCTCCTGTGAATTTAATAATAAAAAGAAATTGGATTCTTACTGATCTGCACTTCCGCTGGCATGGCAAGTGGGGAAGGTGCTCCCCCAGCTTTTCCTATCATTATTGGAGGGTGGGGCAAAACACCAGCTGGACTGCTTGCAGATTTCTGAAAGTAAAAAACATCGCATTTGAGAAAAAATATACATAAACACAAAACATAGATATTAAATGTAAACACTGTCTATAAACATTTACATAAACACTTCATATAGGAAACATTGCACATGTAAATAAGCAGGAAGTGTGTTGACTACACATGCATGTGCCACGCACATCAACTACGCAAAGCATTCTAATACAGATTGGTATCAGAAATTTCCCTGCTGTTGCTACCAATCAAGGCTACATAGCTTCATGCAGGGTACTCCACACACCCAAAATAACATATATTGCATTTTGCTCCTACCACACTGCCATCTCCCACACTAGAACATGGACTTTTATCTAGAGGCATGCTCAGTGATTTAGTGGTATCTGAGCCAAGAAGACGAGTTAACAACATCCTAGTCACCAAGCTGACTATGACGAAACTTACGAGCTTGGATTTCAGGGCACTACTGTAAGAGATGCCTGTCCATGGCACGACTGGTGGAGAAGGAGCAGGCTGAACAGACATCACGGTCACGTCTCCTCTCCCTCCCCCAGTAGAGGGTGCTTCTACCTCGATGGCATTGGCCACCTCACCGTTCACGACAGCAGTAGGTTTCGATTCGACTGGAAAATGCAAAGTTCGAGGCCGTTAAATTACTATAGTAGTTTCAGAAACTGCCTGTCTGTCAATGATCTGGTGTGGGTTAAATTTCCTATTACATGCAGAAAATTGTTTTCAACAAACAGGTACTGAAATTTACTACAATACACTTTCTGCCGTAAATTTAGTCCCAACCGTAAAGATTTCACATATTTCGATTGCATTATTTTTATTGCGGCGTAGCAATTCTGTATTCCCCACTCCTCAAACTCAGGAAATTCATGCCCTGGGTCAACGAGTGGGATTGTACTATGTAAGGTTGCGGTAACTATTAATCAATGACTAGCGTCATTGCAACAAGATCCGCGAACCTAGCTTGGAACGCAAAAATCACTCTCACACAAAGTGACACTCACACAGCACTGAATCTGCTGTGAGGTTAGGCAAGTGTTACATGCTCACCCTCTGACGTCGGCTGGGTGATGGTGACCACCCCATGGCTTGCTTCAACATTACACTTGCTGCTCGGGTTGTTTTCTGCTTCTGATCCCTTACTGACTGCTTCCTTCCGGTCAGGCCCTGCTCCATCTTCAGGCTACACAGCAACACTTAACGTCAAATCCCTCTCTCGATGCGACCAGCAAAAAATTTCTACTATTGCGGCAATAGTACAGCAATTGCGGTGCAGAAATCAACATCAGCACTAACGCATTCCTACAGCCTGTTGCACCTCTACTGAACTCACCGACTCCTCACGGCGACCATCGGCTGCGTCTTTGCTCGCTTTCTCTGCCGCCTTCTGTTCAACGCTCGCCGACAGCCTTGTCCAGTTGTTGCGAAGAGCCTGTGCATAGTTCATTGGCGACGGCACGGAAGACGTGGGCTCGGGTTTCTCCTGCGACTCCACCGGCAGTACGGACGCTGAGGCGGCAACTGATGGCGACTGCACAAAGTCCTTGGGCCGGGAGGAAGACGCTTTAGACGCAGTGCGCTTGTGTCGGGAGCCGGAGATCCTGACGATAATAACAAGCGAACATCCAATCAGCACTGCGACGTTGGGTCATTAGCGGTGAATCGTACATATGTAACCTATACTGTTACATTGTGGCAAAAAGTACCGCATTGTTACTTGTGCAGAGCTTGGCCTGAACACCTTTACTCAATAACGATGCCTGCCACAATGTGTGTGAACCACGTTTAAATCAGTGGATTAGAAGAGTACATCAGATCTGGTAATATGTAATGATAATAAAACACCCAAAGTGTGATAAAAAAAACTTGAATCTCCTACGAGATTCCCTTTCCGAACCCCATATTGTTATCGACAAATGTCACTGAGATTTGTTTAGCGTTTCGTGGGCCATGCATTGTCTGAATATCACAAATTCCAGTATATCTCTCGTCTAGATTGTGATTACAGAAGCGTAAAATGACTAAGAACAGGGGGCACTGAATGTTTAAGGTGACCATTAAATATATGATTACCGAGTTATGCTTAGTAAATGTTATGCACTAGTTGAGTAAGGCTCACGTGTGGAATTCTTTTTTTTCCTTTAATGGTCAGTCACATCCCCTAGTATTATATACTCCTGATTTTAGATTTAATATAACAATTATTGGTTGGTTGTTCTGGGAAGTATTTAGTAGAGCTCGAAAATGAACCAAATTTTCTAAGTTCACAAACCTCCACGTCTCCCTCATAACTACGTAATAATTGCATGATATTTCATATTAAACCTAAGCACTATTAAATGCCGGTAAATTGCAGATGGCAAACCTGGAGTCATCACAAGTGGTGTCCATGCTAATGGTGTCGGATCGGACTTTGTGTCTGGCCTGGTTGGCTCGCACCCTGTACAGCCGTGACGGCAACTCATCAAGAGAATGTTCAGCAATCTTCTCAGAGAAATCTGCAGCAAACACGAACAGACCCGGTGAGAAACCAGGAATAGTTTCACATCTACGAAATCGCTTTCTCGAGTGATCGTCAGTAACATAATTTAACACTATTTCAAGACTAACAGACTTTTTGCCAGAAAATGAAATGCAACTTTCGGGCATCTGTGAATTCTCTTATCAAACATTCACTCAAATTCAAAATTTTCTGTTACCCTGTCTACTCTTGCTAAAGGCATGTCCTCTTTCAAAAAGACATGAGCCTGCAGCTACAATATCTCATATACCCTACTAGAACCTCACATGCATCCCCATGCATCACAGTGTTTAGTACCTGTGACCTGTCTGCATGCTATAACTTATGAGTACCTAATATGAAACATTTTACCTGTCTGCGTACTCAGCTCGACACAGATGACGGTCCTGTGCTTGGCAGAACCTTTCTTCCTGTTAGGGAGATTCGTCTGGGCGTTTTTCTTGCTGATAGCCCCGGTGACTCTCTGAACCTGTAAAACACAGTCAATGCTCAATCACACTCCCCAGCATACATCACGACCGAACGTAAGCAAATAGGATAGATACAGATTATCTACGGACACTGAAACAACAGATACAACAAACACTACAGGCGCAAACTCTATCTTCCTATCTCTCTCTGTGTCTCTCTCTGTTAGTCTCTGTCTGGTCTCTCCCTCTCTCACTCTCTTTGTTGTCTGTTCTATTAAGGTGACCATTAACACAAATTTAACTACATCTATACACATTGCAACAGTTGGATGAATAACTGAATTGAAATGGAAGCTGACAATTACTAGTGCCCACTTGGAAGCTTTTCTGTGGTTTTTTTGGTAACACAGGGTTGCATTTCAGTAGCACAAAACAAAGCAACTATCATTGGCTATAAATTCCTTCAGCGAGTACGGATTGCTAGTGCTTACCTGGTTGGATACAACAGGAATGGTTGTATCGATAACCTGCTGGGGCTGACTGACTGTGAATGGCTGGTACATTGGCACTCCCGAAGCATACGTTACATTCCCAGCGTAATATCCTGTGAATCCACACCATTTTATTAAAATAGTAATTTCAAAAACTCTGATGGAAGACGATTTTTTTTCAGTAAACAGCCCAGTTCGTTTTCCACCACAATCGATTATCAATCGATGGTACAGAATTATAGAATTACAGAAGCACAGAACTGTTAATCAAACTTCATAGCTTTGTGCAGTACGAAGCAGGACTTTAACATGACATCCCAGTGATAGATTTGTTATGTTTCTTAATGCAAACCTATAGGTTGTGGGTCCGCTACCGGTGGTGCTGGGTACACAGCTGGGTTATATCCATATACAAAACTATCGTAGATCGGTGACTTGTTTAGTGGCCCATAGGCGGCACTGCCTGCAGGCGCAGCTATCTGAGGCAGGCCCGGCGACAAATTACTCGGAAGGATTTGCTGCGACTGGTTCATAGGCCATCGATTCTTAACATATCTGTAATGAATTATGCATAATAAACAAACACGGCTTACCGTGAGTTGTTATAAGGCCCTATGGATATGTACTAGCAAAATGCAATGTACTGGGTGGAGAACATTACTGATACTCTGTACAGATTCGATATAAGCAGAATACAACAGATTTATCAGTTTTACAATGTTGTTAGGATGTCAATTTCATAGGCAACATTTAGCATATATCAACATACATGTATGGATGCAATTAAGCATCCTACAGATTCCTTAATAACAGGTAGTTACTTTTCATTTATACATACACACATTATATACCTAGTGCTGCACTTTAACATATTATACCAAATAAGACTTTAAATAGTCAAATTTAGCCATTTCCAAAACCTTTAAAGACATTTATTTACATATACAGATTATATTATGATAACCTAAGCAATAAAGTAAAAGCCACATCACCTGTGCCCATGGACAGCTATACATTTTATGTTTGGATAGACCTACCCTGGATCGCCTTGCACAAATGGATAGCAGCTCGTCATGTATTTCGGGAGGCTCTTGAATTCGCCGGGCTGATTGTAGACTGACACCGTCGTCTCCGATCCCTGCTGATGAGGCCCATAGTCGACACCTTGCAGTTGCTCATGCTGCCGCTGCTGCTGCTGCTGCTGCTGCTGCTGTGTGTAGATCTCTGTGGTATCATCTTGCTGATAGGTTTCATTCTCTGGCTGGTCCTCTACATGGATTCATGAAATAATAACAAACAGTTATAGAGTACATGCATTGTATACTAGCAATCAAGCAAACTTGAAACAATGAGACTGGCTGACCCAATCTCCTCTTTCTCAGTGGAGCAACTGATAACTTTAAGATTGGTTAGTAATATTTAAGGTTTGATGATGATTCCCTGATGGCAACGATTACAAATCGACAAGAAAGTTGACTTCCCTGCTTGCACATTTGCACAACAGGGACAACACAGGTGAACACTGGGGAGTTTCGTAATAAATGATAATATCAAGATATTATATTACATACAGCTAGTTCTGTACTGTTTTAAACCAATTTCAGCTCTAGTTTAACAACTGTGCTTATACCAAATACATTTAATGTTAGTGTCTGATCAGTTTCACTTTACCACCCTATCTAGACCAGAAACATAACACAATATTTTGCACCTATTCTTAACAAAATACAGACAATTCAAAATAGTTACCACGTCTAAATAAATTAATACGACATTAAACATGCCGTTTTTTTCTGACAGATTAGCATTACCCGCTGTCCCATTTTGTTCTTCCACGACGTGTTCCACCTGTGCAGGTACCACAGTCACATTCTCTTGCTTCTCATCGGGCATCTGAACTTGCGCCTTCCCAGAAGGTGCCCGACTTGGCTGCAACTCTTCCCCTAATACCGTGTCAGCAGTCTCCTCAGGTTGAGGTGCATCTCCGACATGACGCGGTATGAATGGCTGCGACTCAGCAGATAGTTTTGACATCTCTGAGTGCTAGATAAACAACCAAACAAACATAATTACATATCGTATGTGCAAAAGATGAGTTTCACCTTGGAGTAATCATTCAGAATGATTACTCCTTCAGAATGATTACTCCAAGGTTTCACCAAGGCGCTGACAAGTGAGGGTATCGTGGTTGCACTCCTTACTTTCCTTAGTGTCCCTGTAATTGGCCATCACCGGTCCATGCAAGTAATGCTAGAGCAACAGGTACTACTAATAGCAGGTTATTGATTATAGGCCAGGTAAACTATCAGATATCTGGACCACGTTTCCTGATATGAATGTACTTAGAAAATCATAGAAAAGCATTCATAAGGAAGTAAATTACGATGATACCGCAATTGTGCAATGAATGTACATGTTATTTGTATTCAAGTTAAATGCAAAAATTATTAGGAAAATGCTTAAAACATGGAAAATATTTCCCTTTTCAAGTACTCTGCAGTGTAAAGCCTAATAAAATCAATATACAAATAGCAGATTTGCGGTCAGTGTGGTGTCTCTGTGTGAAATGTATTGCTTGCTTACAACCAAGAAGTTTTAATGCAATTTCTCAACATTCTAAGACTTTTATCCCACACAATATAATGTCAATTAATCAAATCGTCAAGTATGTTTCATTGCTAATTTAAACCAACAAGTGCCGCGGAGCGACAGCGCTCATCTAACGTCTACTGCGGTGACTCTGTGGTGGAGTGGTGGGATTCTAGTAAACCCTGTTAGTCCCAAATGTGTTCACATATGCACCGAAACAGAATGGAAGGCACAGGGATGGTATCAGGAACTTTCTCAAAGGAATGTTCGTTGGGATCGTTA